TCTAATTTGAAAATTAATTTGGTTTTAATTGGATAATATTTTTAGCACAGCAAATATCTTATTAATATTAAAAATACCATAGGATGGTGGGTTACAAGGCCATACTTGAGGGGAAATCAAAACCATTTGTAAGTCCTTGTATTCCTTCTACATTTGTAATCTAATCCCTCTATATATGGTTTTAACAAAATAATTTTAATTAACAATTAAACTTGATTTTAAAAACATATGAAAAGTCGAGAACTTTCCTAAGATATGAAAAGTAAATTCTAAATATAAAAAAGTATTCTAGCAGATTTTAATCTAGAAAATATTACTCTTTTAGTTTCTCCAAAATGTACTTGATCGCGTTCTTCCTTTTTCCTATAAACACAGAAATTATAGGGGCTGAATGAGTTGATCTTTCGCCTCAGTATTAATAATTGATGGCTAGAGAAGAGAAGCCACAATCATGTTCCCACTAAATTAATGATTAAAATGAAACAGCAGCTAAGGCTTACTTAACCTTTTCATATACCTCTAAAATAAATATTCCCTTTATCTCAAAAAAATATCACAGTAGATATTTTTAATTATTTTAATTACTTAAACTTATAATTAATATATTTAAAATTTATTTCATTCATAGATTTAAAAAAAAAGTTTTATATTTTTCATCAATAGTTTACTTAAAACAATAAGATGTTAATTTAAAAAGTTTAACTACTAAAAATCAAAATGTGAGAAATTTATTAGGATGGAGAAACAATTTTTTCAATTAAAGTAAATATTTTTTTACTGATTTATTATTAAATTGAATTTAAACTAAAACATAATATTTCAGAGTTAACCTGCTTAAATGGAACGTAAAGCCAATTGGGAGCGATGCTATTGCTAGAGACACTCCAATATCTGAAATAATTTTCTTTGTTGTCCCTATTGATGAGCAAAACGGATTAGGGGACACTGGTAGAGAACGGAGTTAGGGTTTCCGGAAGGAACAACAAAGAGGGTTCATTTTGGTTGGTGAATACGTACCCTTTTTGCTAACTAAAGACAATAAAAAACTTTCAAAAGCACCACCACTTCCCTTTTTTATTTTTTTTATTACCTTATAAAGTAAACAATTAGTGTTTTGTGCAAGCAAAATAGGTTTTTAGCAGCGTTTTTTCATTCATATAGCGGTGTTTTTAAACACCGCTAAAATCCTTTGGCGCAAAAACAAACGCCGCAAATGGTAGCGGCGTTTGTCGTTCACAAATGCCGCAAAAGGTAATGATATTAGCGGCGTTTTGTTACAAACACCACTAAAGGTAATGATATTTAGTGGCGTTTGTAATGTAAAACGACGTTATTGACTATATATATAGTGGCGTTTTTGTATAAACGACGCAAAAGATCTAGAACTTTAGTGGCATTTTTAAAAACCACCGGTATTGACTATGTATTTAGTGGCGTTTTTCTATACAAACACCATGAATTAAAACTAATTTTTTTTAAATGTTGTTTTCTACAAATTTTTTACCCAAATTTAACCTGTAGCATTATCCAATGAACTTGACATCCATAACAAGAAACTTGAAATTCATAACAAGAAACTTGAAATCCATAAAAATAAATCAAAGTTTACATTAACCTAAAATATTGAGGGTGTACACCTGTCCAAAGAATTTGAAGATATTTGTATCAAACAAGAAATTTGAAGGGGCAACCATATTTGCAACTTGCTACAGATGATCCATTAATTACAGGAAAACGTGAAAATGTGGTTCCACCAGCTGATTCATGCAGCAACGCTGGACTTAAAAAGTTATGAAAGCACAGATACATAAGATTAGCTCAACAATGCATATTGGTTAAAGGTTCAACGACCAATACAAATGAAACCGTAGACCCCGTCTCATCTCCCAGTGGAATTTGGGAAAAGAAGGTTGTAGCTATTAAAAACCGATAACAATATTTCAAAGTAAACGGCAATCAGCAATGGGAATAGAAAGCCCGCAACCTTGAATATGACAAATCACTTTCACAAGTTGATATCTCGGGTGATGACTCTGAAAGGCCACTACTTCCTTGTGATCGGTCACGCAAAGATGAATTGATAAGTTTCTCCTGCTTATCTTTTGTGGCTGGCATAGATGACCCAGTTTGACGAAGAATGTTTCCATCAGAAAATGATCTTCTGAAAAATGACCTGAAAATTAAGGATTAGAAAGAGAAGTGATACACAGCAATAATCAGATGACTAAATAGAAAGGTAAACCAAAACAAAGAAGAAAATGAAATGCAAAAAATCTCATTTCCATACACCACCTACTTACTAAATTCATTACATTTGATCAAGCATATGTAAAACTATTAACAAGAGTCATATAGTTTATGAAGAAATATGGATGTGATGTGGGTAAGAAGAAAAACAACAGTAATAAAAACATATTAGGGTGAATAAACGAGTAGGAAAGAAGATATTGGTTAAGGGAAACCTCTAGTGGCTTTCCGCCACAACTCAAAGAAGCCCCATAACCAGAATTTCCTAATTAACAAGAAAGTTGAGAATTCAAAACAAGAAATTGCAGGAAGCGTATTCCCAGATATGTGGTTCCAAAAATAAAGAATGGAGGATATTGTAGTCACTACGTTATGGCTCAGGGATGAAGCTCAAGGTTTTAATTGGAAAACTACCTTTCATCTTCATCCACAATTGTTTCCTCGTTTCTTCCCCTATAATGTTGGTCTGAACCCAACTCCCAAAGAGCAGGTTTACCAGCCTGGGGCTGGAAATGCCCAAGGAATCTGCACAAAGAATTATTAAAAGAATTGCTGAAGATATTAACAATAACATATTTAAGAAATGAATTGAAGATAGTTACAAGAAATGTCAAATTTACTGAACTCCAAATAAAAGATAAGAGCCGTTTAGTCCATTGAAGTAGGATCAGGGATGTATTAAACCCAAAAAAGGCCAACTACCTATATGCATTAAATTTGTAGAGCAACATGCTTTAAGACCATTTGGTGTCAAAGTGAAAGAGACATCAATTTTCACCCCGGAAGTAATATACACATAATACTGAAACTTACGGTTAAATTGCATCTTGTTTCTCAGCATCATATATGCATTGCTACAGTATCGTTGAAGTGTTCTAAAGAACTCCTGTGACTGGGTCGCGGCTCTCCACTGACCCCTTCTCTCAGAGAATATCAGCATGGTATAAAAGAACAGAAAATTAACTAACCGAGACGTTTGTATTTATAAATTATAACTAAATTTTAACATGCAGCTGAAGCATCTTACAAGAATTAATCTTAAGTAACAAATATTACCCTCGTCATTTATTTCTCATAGAACAAATATTATAATCACAAATTGGAATACCTTATTGTGAGCTGCAGAACCACCGTATTGGTGTGCAAGTGCGTCACCCATTCTCTCATAGAAACCCATTAAATTATTTGCCAATGGATCATTAAGATCTATCTTTGGGGTATCTCTAATCCCTATAGCATGAAGCTGGTGTCCTAGAGCAGCCGATCCATATGCATACTGTGCAACATTTGTGCGATCCAGACAGTCGATACAATCGGTCCTAAGCACACCTCTTTGGAATGTTGGAGGCTTGAGAGAATGATTTACGTTAGTGACATGACTATACCCAGAACATTTCCTCTCCAACTTGTAAGCATCATCAGTAACATTGTTGTGATATCTCTGGGGTGACATTTCAATCTCACTGATCTTCCTGTATCATCGTTAGAAAACAAAAAATGCCATTTTCAACTTTTAGCAGATACAAACCAGAGATCTTAAATATTTATGACATGGCATCATTGAAGTCCCGTCATATTACATTAATATATAGATAGATAGATATCCATAATTCATAAAGCCAAGTATCGACCTAATGCAAAAGTCTAATATGTTGCAAATTCAAAATGCCTACTGATGAGTGAGATTGCTTCGGGTATCTAGACAACATTCAATACTATGGCTTGTGAAAATGTCATATTTACAAAATTTTCATATACAAAACTGAAAGTTACTAAATGTGAAAAACGTACTCAAAGGAAGACCAAGCCATGCACTCCTCAGGTCTCAAGGTTGAAGTCACCCGACAATAAAAGAAACCTGTAGACACTAAATTTTTGTCCCATTTTTATTTTTATTATTTTATTATTATAATTATTATAATTATTGCAAAATTATTATTATATTATTATTATTAAATAATTTTATTATATTTCAGGCCCAAAATACAATAAACCCAAGACCCATTTTACAACCAAACTCGGAGGCCCAACAGAAGCCCAACCCGGTCCAGAAAACCTAAACGGCCCAAGTGAAGACCCGACCTAATAGTAACCCTAAAACCCAACTAGGGTTTCATCATCTCAGCCCTAGCCGCCAACACCATCAGCCATTGGGTCTGGCAAGATCCAACGGTCCAGAGCGCCAGATGATCACCCACGTCGAAGCTCTATGGTGAGTCACCACCATAGTTCGGTGAATCACCGAAATCCACCCTTAGGATTGGTCCATGGCGAGAATCGTGGTGGCCTATAAAAGCCACCACCGAAGTTGCAAGAGAAGAAAAGAGACAGCAACCAACAACAAAAAAACCACAAAAACGAGAGCAAGAAGGGAGAACCAACAACAAGCAACACAACCACCAGAAAATTGAGAAAAAACAAATAAAAGAAGAGAGAGAAGACTTACCACCGAGGAAGCTACACAGTCATCGGAGCCTCCATGCAGTGCTGAAATACTTGAAACATCGAAGGTAAATAACCTTAGATCTACGCCGATCTAAGGAGATTTAGGAAAAAAAGAGGCTGAATTCGGCCTTTAGGTGTCGAGATCTTTAATTTGGTGTGATTTGGGAAATTACGGCCACCGTGATCGGTAGCCGGTGGTGGTTGCCGATGCCAGAGCAAGGCGGCCGGCCGGTGATCGGTTTCCCTCCGACGAGGGAATTTAAGAGAGAAGAGAGAGAGTTCTCTCTTTAGAGAGAGAACCCAAAAGGAAAAATAAGGGAAAATAGCCCTCTTGGGCCGATTATAGGGTATTTATACCCTCACCAAAACGACGTCGTTTTGGTGAGGGGTGTCTGTGTAATTTCCCTCATAGGAAAACCACGACCGTAACCACTCATAGTTTTATAAAGTTCCATTTTGACCACTGAAATCAATTTATATATGTTTTAATTCGGTCTTTCAATTTTATTTTATTTAGAATTTAGTTATTAACGTTATATATGTATGTATTTAGGGTAAATATCTATTTAGTCCCTTATAATTTTAATAATTTTTATTTTAGTCCCGTATTAATATTTATGGCTAAATTACACTATTAATATTTATATTTAATGATATTTCGAATTATGTCCAATAATATTTATATTTTGCAATTTAATCATGTAGCTTTTAATTCCTTTTATTTTGGTCATTTTTTATTACAATTTTATTTTATTATTGTCCTTTAGTTTTCAATATATTTATTTTAGTTCTTTAATTATTATTTTATTATTATTTTAGTAATATAAATATATATATATGAATTTGTAAATATTATTTGATTAATTAATTAAATAATAATATTTATTTATTTTTAAATATTAAGAAAGGGATGTCTTAAAATAACTAGATGTCCTATTATGATATTTTAAAAATAAATAAATATCATGCTTATATATATATCATTTGTATTTAAATCAATTTTTAGAAAAATCATATTCTTATTTATTTATTTTTAATTATTAAGAAAAGGTTGTCTTAAATTAACTAGAGGTCCTATTCCGATATTTTTAAATAAATAAAACACCTTACTTATAAAAACAAATATATATATATATATATATATAGTTGTTTTAAGTTTTATTCAAATTATTTTTTATATATTCTTATTAATATTTATTTATTTTTTAATATTGAAGAAAAGGAGTTATCTTAAAGTAACTATATGTTCTTTTCTGATATTTTTAAATAAATAAATACCATATTTATAAAACCCTAAAATATATATTTACTTTAGTTTTATAAAAAAATATTTTAATTATCCGATTAAATCTGAAATAATAGGATTGTAAATTAAATTTATATTAGAATTCTTAAATTCCTACTGATAGAGACAATTTATAGTACCAATTTTGGGCGTTGTGGGGGTGCTAATCCTTCCCCAAACGTAACCGACCATGAATATCTTTTTATTACTAAAAAGAATGAATTTTTTGGTTATACGCAGACCAATTTATCTTTTAAATGGTTTTTTTCTTAAAAACTCTTTTAAAAGATGATTTTTAGGTATTTGACCTACTTAATCCAAAAGGTCGATGGCAACTCCAAAAACTTTCTTTAAAAAAACCATTAATATTTATTCACTCTTTTCCCGCCAAGAAAAAATTGTACCCGGGCAAAAACCGGTTACGACAGCTTGGCGACTCCACTGGGGACCTTGGTCAACCTAAGTCGATTATATATTGTCTCTATAGTTAGAAATTGAGAATCCAATTTTATTTAATTTATGATTCTTTTTATTTCTTTCAATTTATTTTATACCTTTGTATATATTTGTATTTAATTTCTTCTTAAATATTCATTTTTGTGTGAAACTTTCTCCTCACACACAACACTTGCATTGCATAAACATAAGCTCTATACCCGAGTTATTTTCCCTTTTAAGTGGGAGTGAAAGTGACGTCTTCGTGAGAATTTATTCTTCGTGTTAGACCTAACAAGTAGCTTTCGAGGTTCATATTCTCTATGTCTTTGTGAGAATTTATTCTCCGTGTCAGACATAGGGAAATATGTCCCCTCTAATTGAACTCGATCCGCTTAAGTCTGTAATGAACTAGGATTGAGGGTTTGACAGCCCAAGGGGGCACCAACAAGGACAGTTCGAGAACATTTACTCTTAGAATCGAAACCCTGCATATAAAAAAACATATAAATTCATCCCATCTAAGACAATGCTGAAACTTTGTCCGTAGGTGTACACAAAGGAGAAATAAGCTCTAGCTTTTGTCTTTTAATTTTTTCTCCTTTATTTTAAATAAATGCATGCGAACTAGTAATCATGCAGTTAGGTTAATCTTTCCAAACAAAGCATGGAACTAGAAAACATGAGGTTATGATACTAGAATCTTTTCTTGTTTTTAATTGGTACTAACCATTTTACTTTTTATTTTTCTATGCATATTATTTTGCTTTAACTTGTTTATATTGATTTCTTTTGTTTGCATTGCATAATCATGACATGATTAGAAGGTGTTGATTCGAGAGTGGACATCAAATTGGAAAGTTTTCATAAATGGAAAAAAAGTTTTATGATCAAGCAAACTTTGACGCAGCCAAGGAATGGCATCCTGAGGGAACTTCGAGGATAGAGGAGAGTTATGCACACAAAGATCCTGTTAGATTGATACCAAAAGTATTCAACAGTAAGAGTATCAATAGGGGCTTTCAGAATAAAGGAGATTTTTATGAAGCTCAAGCATGTTATTTGAAGGATGAAAACAAGAAATTGAGCACAAAAATGAAAACCATGTGTGAGGATTTCCAAAAGATCAATCAAGCCTTTTATAATGCTGGCATAGGAAACACCCTAGAGGAGTGTGTTGAAAACATTTTGATATTTCGATATAACAAATTAAGTTAAATGAATTTTAAGATTTTCCAAATGATTTTCTAAGTATATTCGATAGAATTATTCGAATATCAAAACATTACTCCAAATCTTTCAAAGATCATTTTAATTCTTACTCAAAGTGTAAAATTAAGTTTTAATCTTAAAAACAATTTCAAAATAATTTTACAAAGTATTTCGAACCATTTCAAAGTCAAAAATTCCAGATTGCTCAGAGGGAACCGATTCCCCCCAAGGGGGTACCGATTCCCCCCTGAATGGTTTGGCTCCGAGATTTCCAGAATGCTCGGAGGGAATCGATTCCCCCATAGGGGGTACCAATTCCCCCTGTTCAACGGTCGAAATATTTGAATTTTACACTTAGGGAACCGATTCCCTATGAGGGGGAACCGATTCCCCCCACGCTCCAAGCTATTTTATTAATTGTTTTCACACTAAAACGGCTATATGATCTTCACTAATCATCCCCAACATTCAGAAGTGATTCAAGGTGTATTTAAACAAGTTCTGAAGCCCTTGATCAACAAGAAATTATAGAGAAAAAGAGAGAAAGCATCAAACACCAAGTTTGTGCAAATCAAGCCAATTTTCCTTTCAATATTCATTTTGCTTTCAAGAATACCATTTGTTCTCATTTGTAATTATCTTTGAGTGTTCTTTTCTTGTTCTAGAATTGTGCAAACATCTTACCTTGTGAGGTTTTCCTTGTAAGTTTGCAAATTTGTAATCTTCTCTTTGGGAAAGAGTGTTCTCAAGAATTGAGGTATATTCTTGAGGGTGTTGTAAGGTTATCTCTTTGGCCTCAAAAGAAAGAAAAAATTAGTGAATTTGTTGGAAAATCCTTAGTGTGGATAGCTAAGGTAGTGGACGTAGACTTTGATTGAGAAAGTCGAACCACTCTAAATCGCTGTGCAATTACTTTCAATTTTCTGCAAAAGCTTCCACCAAATTTTTAATTGCCAATTCACCCCCTCTTGGCCAATTCCGTCAATCGATTAACTCAATAATTGGTATCAGAGCCTAAATCATTTGAAGGTTTAATCGCCTCTTGAGTTGATTCGGGAAGAGTTATATCGATAATCAAAGTCATCAATGTCCTCCGCTTCAAACTTCGACTCCGGTCTCGACTCGATGCTCGTCAATAAGCCTCCTTTCTTCAACGGAGCTAACTATGCCTATTGGAAGAATAGAATGATATACTTCATTCAAGCAAGTGACATGGGAGCATGGAATGTTGTAGAAGAAGGATACATCAAACCTCTCACTCATCCAAGGTTGTGGAGTGAAGGAGAGACAAGAATGTTCTAGCTCAACTCCAAAGCCATCCATATCATTTTTTGTGCTCTTGGACCAGATGAATACGGAAGATTTTCATCGTGTACAACCGCCAAAGAAATATGGGACAAACTTCAAGTCACTCATGAAGGTACCGATGAGGTAAAGAAATCTAAAATTAGTATTCTAACGCATAGCTATGAAAATTTCATAAGGACTTAACGTCCTTAACTCTTGAAGAGCTAATTGGGTCATTCCTCACTCATGAAATGATGCTCGAAGATGAGGTGGACCTCGACAAAATTGATGAGACACCAAAGGAGAAGGAGAAGAAGAAAAACATTGGAGTTGCTCTCAAATCCACAAAAGATGAGAGTGATTCGAATAACGATGACGATGACGAGGAAATGGCATTGTTTGCCAAACGGTTCAGAAAAATGATGAGACCTTATCGAGCATGAAAATTCAAACGAAATGAAGGCCTAAAAAATGAACCGAAAGAGAAGAACCCAATCATTTGCTACGAATGCAAAAAGCCAGGGCATGTTAAATATGATTGCCCACAATTGAAGAAAAAGGGTCAATCAAAGAATAAGCACAAGGCTCATGTGGCTACATGGAGCGATGAAGAAAGTTCCGATGAAGAGGAACAAGAAGTAGCTAACTTGTGCTTGATGGCATTTGGGGAAGATTCTAAGGTAACCTCTAACTCATCCGATTTTGATGATTTATCCTATGATGAGTTATTAGAGGAATATAATGGGTTGGCTTCGGATTATGAGAAATTATTTTTAAAATATAAAAACGATGTTTCAAAATTGAAAAATGAAAACAAACTCATATCCAAAACCAACAACGATCTTGAAAGTAAAATCAAAGATTTGCAAATCAAGCTAGAAGAGTTTGAAAAGAAAAATTTAGATTTGCAAAATTTACTTTCAAAGATCAATGATGATCATCAAAAGAAAATTGATGATCTTAAAACTTCTTTTCATAAATTTAGAACAAAACATTTTGAAAAAGGTGGAAATTCAAAATCCAACTTTGTTAGAAAAAGTTTTAGAAACTACAATCATAGAGGTCCCCAAAGAACCTCTAATGGAAAAATCGTTAGAAGTATGTGGGTTCCTAAAGAACTCATTACTACTAAAGATAAAAATATCCTACACAAATGGATACCTAAGGGGACTAGGATTTTGGAAACTAATGAATATGGACCCAAAAGAATTTGGGTACCAAAAATCAAAAATTAATCTATGTTTGTAGGGAAAGGAGCATTACTACAAGGCACGGGAAACAAATTCAAATTCATGGTACCTTGATAGTGGATGCTCAAGACACATGACCGGAGACAAAAGCCGGTTCATTGAGCTTAACGCCAAAAATGGAGGAGAAGTGACTTTTGGAGATAATTCAAAAGGTCACATTGAAGGTATTGGTACAATAGGTAATACCTCTTCCATACAAATTAAGAATGTTTTATATGTGAATGGATTAAAGCATAATCTATTGAGTATTAGTTAATTATGCGATAAAGGATTCAATGTCTTATTTGAAATTAATGGTTGTAAAGTTATTGACATTGCATCTAATCGGATTATGCTTATTGGTCATAGAATAGGGAACATTTACATGGTGCATTTAGATTCTTTTGATATGACTAATTTATGCCTAGTTGCTAAAGATGAACATGATAGTTGGTTATGGCATAGGAGACTAGGACATGCTAGTATGAGTGTTTTGCAACGGCTAATTCAAGGTGATTTAGTTCGAGGGTTGCCTAAGCTTAAATTTGATAATGATAAAATCTGTGATGCTTGTGCTAAAGGAAAACAAAAGCATGTTTCTTTTAAATCCATTAATGACGTATCAACTAGTAGAGTATTACAATTGATCCATATAGATCTTTTTGGGCCAACTAGGACTACTAGCTTGGGTGGAAAACAATATGCATTTGTCTTGGTAGATGACTATTCTAGATATACTTGGGTTCTATTTTTAAGTACTAAAGATTAAGCATTAGAACAGTTCATCACATTTTCAAAAATAATCCAAAATGAAAAGGGTTACTCTATAACTAGTGTTAGGAGTGATCATGGCACTGAATTTAAAAATCTTGGATTTATTGAATTTTGTAATTCTAATGGTATTAGTCATAATTTTTCAGCACCTAGAACCCCTCAACAAAATGGAGTTGTTGAGAGGAAAAATCGAACTTTAGAACAAATGGCTAGAACCATGCTTTGTGAAAATAATTTGCCAAAATATTTTTGGGCGGAAGCCACAAATACTTCTTGTTATGTTGTTAATCGACTAATGATTAGGTCAATTTTAAAGAAAACTCCATATGAAATTTTCAAAAATAAAAAGCCTAACATTAGCTATTTCCATCCTTTTGGATGTAAATGTTTTGTTTTAAACAACGGTAAAGAAAACCTTGGCAAATTTGATGCTAAAAGTGATGAAGGAATTTTTCTGGGTTACTCCTTAAATTCTAAAGCTTTTCGAGTATTTAATAAAAGAACTTTAGTTGTAGAAGAGTCTATACATGTTGTTTTCGATGATAATCCCCTTCCAAGGAAGGATTCTTGTGTGAATGATGATGTAGGTGTTATAAATACAAATGATGTTAGACATGAAGTTGGAGAACCATCATCAAAGGAAGAAACGAAAAATGAGGAAACTCATGATCCTCTTGAGAATCCAACCATTGAAGAAAGGGAAGTATCTTATCCAAGAGAGTACAACTATGTCAAGGATGGTGAAATTATAGGTGATCCATCAAAAGGGGTAACAACTCGATCTTCTCTTAGAAATATTTGTAATTATGTTGCATTTATCTCATGCATAGAGCCTAAGAATATTAAAAAAGCATTAAATGATGAACATTGGATTATGGCTATGCAAGAAGAGTTAAATCAATTTGAGAGAAGTAAAGTATGGACATTAGTTGAAAGGCCTAGTAATAAATCTACTGTAGGTACTAGATGGGTATTTAGGAATAAGCTTGATGAGAGTGGTAATATAGTGAGAAACAAGGCTAGACTTGTTGCTCAAGGGTATACTCAAGAAGAGGGCATAGACTATGATGAAACATACGCTCCCGTAGCTAGGATGGAAGCAATTAGAATGTTATTAGCATTTGCATGTTTTCATGAATTTAAATTATATCAAATGGATGTTAAAAGTGCATTTTTAAATGGTTTTATAAAAGAAGAAGTGTATGTGGAACAACCTCCAGGTTTTGAAGATTCAAAATTTCCAGATCATGTTCTTAAATTGACAAAAGCTCTTTATGGTTTAAAACAAGCTCCTAGAGCTTGGTATGAAAGATTGTCAAATTTTTTAATTGAAAAAGGTTTTTCAAAAGGAAAGGTTGACACTACATTGTTTTTAAAGCATAAAGGTAAAGATTTATTAGTAGTTCAAATTTATGTTGATGATATAATATTTGGTTCTACTAATGATGTTCTTTGCCAAGAATTTTCTAAGCTAATGCAAAGTGAGTTTGAGATGAGCATGATGGGGGAGCTCTCATTTTTCTTGGGACTCCAAATCAAGCAAAGAAAAGATGGCATCTTCATTAATCAAGCTAAGTACGTCAAAGATATGCTCAAGAAGTTTAGACTGGAAAATGGGAAACCTCATGACACTCCAATGAGCTCTTCAACAAAGCTTGACTTAGATGAAGGAGGTAAATGTGTAGATGTTAAATTATATAGGTCAATGATTGGATCTCTACTTTATCTAACTGCAAGTAGACCATACATTATGTTTAGTGTTTGCTTATGTGCTAGAATTCAATCATGCCCTAAGGAATCACATTTACTAGCTGTTAAGAGAATCTTTAGATACCTTAAGGACACTCCTAGTTTAGGACTTTGGTATCCTAGAGACTCTAGTTTTAGCTTGCATGCTTTTTCTGATGTGGATTATGGAGGATGTAAATTAGATAGGAAAAGAACCTCCGGTACTTGCCAATTCCTTGGAAATATGTTGATTTCTTGGTTTTCAAAGAAACAAAATTGTGTTGCATTATCTACCACTGAAGCGGAATATATTTCAGCCGGTAGTTGTTGTGCACAAGTTTTATGGATGAAACAACAACTTTTTGATTATGGAATTGAAGTAGGTACTATTGCTATCAAGTGTGACAATACTAGTTCTATTTGTCTCACTAAAAATCCCATACAACACTCTAGAACTAAATACATTGAAATTAGACATCACTTCATTAGAGACCATGTCACTAAGGAAGATGTAGTTCTAGAATTTGTTGATACTTTGCATCAATTAGCGGATATTTTTACAAAACCCTTAGATAAGGAAAGGTTTTGGACACTTAGGAGAAAATTAGGTTTAACTGACCTATCTTCACTTAGTGTTTAAAATAATTCAGCACTTTTAATAAATACTGGAAAATGCTCGTAATAGTAATTTTTGATTGCATTCATTGCTATTAATTAGGGGGAGTTTATGATTATTGATGAAAAATTAATTTTATGTTCAAATATCGATTAAAGATTAATTTAATTGTTTGAACATAATTATTTTTCAATATATGAGTTGCCTATACCACTAGAGAAGATTAATTTAGCATTTTGTGTGCTTAAAAATCAGATTTTAGCATTTTGGTGTAGAGGGAATCGATCCCCCCCATGAGGGAACCGATTCCCCCTTTGAAGGGGAACCAATTCCTCCCACAGGGGAATCGATACCCCCTGGGGTTCTGTTAAAATCGGGCAGAATACCCAAAACCCCAAAATCCTCTTATTTTTCTTGCCACCGTTCCCTCTCAACTATTTTCCCTATCTCCATTCTTGCTTCAAATCAACGATATTAATCGGAATTCGAATCAAATATCATCTTCTAAACCTGTTGGAATTATTAAAATCGTGCAAACAACATCTAAATCCCCTCAATCTTCATCTTTCAAGGTAAATTTTTCTAAACTCTCTATTCCATTGATTTTGAACATAGGATTAGTTTTTAATTAGTTCTAGGTTGAAATAGTGATCGGCATTGATTGTTTAGTGAATAGAAACTAGATGTTACAACTAATTTCATCAAAAACACAAGAATTTTCCAAAAAAAAATTTAAATTTTCGAAATTAAAAAAATGTTAATTTTCAAATTATTGTGTTTTGATTTAATTATGTTGTTGTTATGAAAACTATACATATATTGTTTCTCAAAACCATATTTTTCAAAAGTTTTTCAAAAACTTTGCCCATTAGGATTGATTTAGAGAACCTTGAAATATTGAGGACTCAATTGAGTTTTGGGATTAATTGAATTGCATACATTTGTTTTTAAAATTGCAGGTTATCCAATCTATTTCGATTTCCTTCACCATGTCTAATCCTAAACGTGATAGGTCTTCATCTAGTCGTTCTAATCGTCAACCAAATCCACCTCTAAATCCTCCTCCTATTCCTCAAAATCCTATTCCAAATCTTGATCTTAACTTGACTATCCAAAATTCTTGTTTCAATCAATCGGGTCCTAAAGATTATCGTTATTGGTTTTACCAATATTTTGACTCATATAAGATTAGGGAAGAACGTATCCCATCTCTTCAAGCTATGGTTGCTATTAACTTTAAATATCTCCCTATCTTGCACGAATGGAAATTTGATAAACTTTTCGAACTTGAACCCGTTGTCTATCATCAACTTGTTCGTATCTTCTATTGTAATGCCGTTTGTATAAAAAATCGTGACAAAACCAAAACCATAGGAGTACGTTCCTACCTCCTAGGTCAATATTTCCATCTTGATCCGGCTTACATAGCCAATGCCTTAGGCTTGGATAATGAAGGTTTATCAAATGAAAAACAAGTTTTAGGCTCACGATATAAACGAAATGATAGTGCAAGTGTTCTAGATCTTCATGAGCGTTTTCTTCATCTTATGATCACTTGGTGGTTTCGACCATCCGGGGGTCGTTATTCTACTCTCAGAGCTTTAGATCTTTGGTGGTTGCATTGTTTTGAACACAATATAAAAATAAACCTTTCCGAGATCATCTTTGTTGAGATTGTTGAAACCGTTAACCTAGTGCCAAATAAGAAACTTTGTTCTTCACTAGTTTATGGTTGTATCCTTAGTAATCTCTTTTCTAAAGCCGAGCTTCGAGTTGGTCTAGATGCCTCTTTTCCTCTTAAGAAACAAATCAATCTTCTTTCTTTAACAAGAGCGGGATGAGTCAAAAATAAAGAAACCGGTGAATGGGTTCGATCTTCTGCAACTATTCCTGGAGCTAGTTCTTCACAAGCTCCACTCGAAGCTGACGAAGATCCAGAGTTTGAACAATTAATGAGGGATATCGATCAAACCAAAGATGAGCCTGAGCAACCCGAGGAGCACGCACAACAATCGACTCAAATGCCTCCATATTTTCAATCTTTTATGGAGACATTTGATTTCTGATATGCGACCATGGATTCGCGGTTTACTTCTATAGAGTCTCATTTATCCACAATGGGAGCTCAACAATTAGAAATTCTTCGGGAAATGCATGCAAATAATGAAACAACCAACGCACGTATTAATGACCTCACTAACGAAATGGTCGCTATGCGAGCTCGTTTTCCTCCTCCTGATCCGGATATGTGATTAAATGTTTTACTTTGAAATCCAAACTTATTGTTTTAACATTTTGAATATTTTGGAATGTTTGAATTTTTGAATTGATTGATTGTGAATTTGTTTGGATTTATGGATGGTATGAACTTATATGTTTTGTGTGATTTATTCATTATTGCATCATTTACTTCATGTTAGATATATGACCAATTTTGCCATATCACATTAAATATGAATATTAATTATGAAACTAATGGCTAACGGTTCTCTTGCTTATGATTTTAGCAGCTTATATTATATATAATAAATTGACTAACTGATTTCAAAACCTTGTTTAAATTCTTTAAAATGTCTTTTTGATTTAACAAAAAGGGGGAGAAGTGTTAAAGTGTTTTTAAATGATAAATGGGAGAAGTGTTAAAGTAAGGGGGAGTAATTTCACAACTTGAAATACTTGATTTCAAAATCTTAAAATTACTAAAATGTTTTTGTTATATCAAAAAGGGGGAGATTGTTGAAAATATTTTGATATTTCGATATAACAAATTAAGTTAAATGAATTTTAAGATTTTCCAAATGATTTTCTAAGTATATTCGATAGAATTATTCGAATATCAAAACATTACTCCAAATCTTTCAAAGATCATTTTAATTCTTACTCAAAGTGTAAAATTAAGTTTTAATCTTAAAAAACAATTTCAAAATAATTTTACAAAGTATTTCGAACCATTTCAAAGTCAAAAATTCCAGATTGCTCAGAGGGAACCGATTTCCCCCAAGGGGGTACCGATTCACCCTGAATGGTTTGGCTCTGAGATTTCCAGAATGCTCGGAGGGAACCGATTCCCCCATAGGGGGTACCGATTCCCCCCTGTTCAACGGTCAAAATATTTGAATTTTACACTTAGGGAACCGATTCCCTATGAGGGGGAACCAATTCCCCCACGCTCCAAGTTGTTTTATTAATTGTTTTCACACTAAAACGGCTATATGATCTTCACTAATCATCCCCAACGTTTAGAAGTGATTCAAGGTGTATTTAAACAAGTTCTGAAGCCCTTGATCAACAAGAAATTATAGAGAAACAAGAGAGAAAGCATCAAACATTAAGTTTGTACAAATCAAGCCAATTTTCCTTTCAATATTCATTTTTCTTTCAAGAACACCATTTGTGCTCATTTGTAATTTTCTTTGAGTGTTCTTTTCTTGTTCTAGAATTGTGCAAACATCTTACCTTGTGAGGTTTTCCTTGTAAGTTTGCAAATTTGTAATCTTCTCTTTGGGAAAGAGTGTTCTCAAGAATTGAGGTATATTCTTGAGGGTGTTGTAAGGTTATCTCTTTGGCCTCAAAAGAAAGAAAAAATTAGTGAATTTGTTGGAAAATCCTTAGTGTGGATAGCTAAGGTAGTGGACGTAGACTTTGATTGAGAAAGTCGAACCACTCTAAATCGCTGTGCAATTACTTTCAATTTTCTGCAAAAGCTTCCACCAAATTTTTAATTGCCAATTCACCCCCCTCTTGGCCAATTCTGTCAATCGATTAACTCAACAGAGTGGATAACAGGGGTCACCAAACTAAAAAAGAACTGCAAAGCCAAGAAGTTTTCTCATGGTTTACGAATTGTAGAAGAAATGCACAATACAACCATCATCAATTTGGAAAAATATCAAGATGAAAATCAAATGTTAAGAAGAGTCATAGCCAATAAGGAAGCCTCATATCAGATCCATCATCATGAGATTGATACTGAATTAAAAGACACTAAAGCTAAGAACAATACATTGATGAAGATGATAAAGGATTATGAAGATCTTGTCCAAGAAATCCATAACCATAGAGATTCCCTCACAAGGAAGAATGAGCAACATTGTCTAGAACTTCAAGAATTGACATAGAATATGAAAGAAAAAGAGAATGTCATGAAGGAGACTGTTGCCCAAGCAAGTGATGTGGCTTATAAATTGGTTGATTTAGCTGGCTTTACAAGGGAATTAAAGTAGACTCAACTCTTGAGCATGAATGGAAACTAACTTGGCTTTAGAGAAGTTAGGAGTGAAAGTAATCCCCTATATGTAATGTTTTGTTTGATGTATCAAAACTTTTGTGTTCAATGAAATCTGTTTTAAGATGATCACTCTTGAGTAACACCTTTTTCATACATGCATTTGCATTTGCATCTTTGCATTTTCATTTTAAATCTACACCTTTAGATTTGCATTTACATTCGCATTTTTGTATAGTTACATTTATAGTTTCAATTTTACATCATGCACATTTAATTTTGTTAGTTTCAAACTATATTACATGCATTTAATCATGAGAATATGGGAATAATTCACGAAAAATTCCATGACAGAATTTTCGAAATCAAATTGAAGTTAACTTGGTCTTTCTAGAGAAGGATAAGTGCTATGAATGAGATTTTAGCAAGGGTTGGTAGAATCAAAAAAACTCCAAGATCAACTTATTAAGACTCAACAAGAGATGATCGATCAAGCAAAAAAGTTCCAGGCTGATTCAAAAGATTAGATAGCCAAATTAATGGACAAGATGAATGATATGATCCATGAAGAGAAACCCCTAGAAGATCATGTTGTAACATATTTGGATGGGGTGATGAATACCAGTGATGTAGCTGATG